CATTTAGAATTATTTTACAAGAGGGCCCTTTATTTTAAAGATTGTATGACATTTAACAACTGTCAAGTAAATTAATACCAACTTCAGCCCGTGACTAAAACCTGTTGCTAACTTCAGCCCGTGACTAAAACGCTATAAAGCCACAACTTGTCAATGTGTACTTAAAAGGTCACTTATAAGTGACACTATAGTGTGGACGTTTTAAAGGTCGGAGTAGAAAATAGTATATTAAGTATCAAGTTTTATAAACGCCATTTTAGTTTTATTAGGCATGAGCGAAGCTTGTAAGTGAGTGTTTAATAAAAACGAGTGTCTAGGGAAGTTTATAAAACAAGTTGCATACTACCTATACTTTATCTACGACGAACAGAAATAAGAATTTTATGCCAATTTTAATTAATAAATATTTTACACCTGAAGAATTTAACCTCACTTTTTCGCAATTTATAATAAAGATATCTTCAGCCCGTGACTAAAATGCTCAAAAAATTTTAAAACTCTGTTAAATAAAAATTAAAATTAAAATTTAAACCATAATGCATTATAAATAAATCACCCCAAAGAAGACTTTAAAAGATGGCACCATGACTCTTGATTACGAATTGAATACCTTGTAAATACTTACTTCTTTTGAAACGTTAAAAGTAAACTTTTAGTGGACGACAGAAGTGACGCTAACACCGCGCCACGAAAAATGAAACGCTGTTAAACGCTCGTAAGTATCAGAGGAGCATAAAGTCGCAGAGGTAAGTGTAGTGCAGAGACATAGTTCATTCACTGTACACTGTACATAATGATGACACTTAATATTCTTAGGTCAATAATCCGCAAAGTGCAAACTGTGCAATAAGCATTATTTGACCACATCATAATTGTAATAAAATATATTATTATTGAATAAACAGAGTTCGATACGAACCTTCAAGCCGACCACCAGCGTTTCATTACCACCCTAATGTAACACCTCACAATGCCCTAAGTCCGGGCATTACATACATAAGTCATGACTTTCTTCTGCGATGTTCACGTCGATACGTGCGCGTTCTGCGGCAAAAATAAACGGTTTTAAGTATCAGGAGAGCATGAAGTAACAGAGGTTACTATAGTCGCCTCGGCGAATGTTTTCCGTTGTGTCATCAATTTGTGAACCAAGCACAGACATTACACAGTTTTATTTGTTAAACGATACAAAATTATATACAATTATAATAACAATTAATAAAAGTGTGAAGTGAGGTTAGATAGCCCAGAGCTGTCACCAGTTATCGAATTTTTTTAGTACAGACCATGATGTAAAAAACTTCATCTGATTTGTATAAATTGTATATACAGCCTGGAAGATAATTGAATACTTAGGACGCTTTACAACCGAGCGAAAAGTACAAAGTTGCACTTTTCCGAGGAGCGAGCGTTCTTTTACTTCTTTGCTAGCCATGCATCAAAGTAACCAAAACGCTCGGTTAGTTACCATGAAAACCATATCTAATAAATAAACGTCTAGTGTAAGTATCTGCGACTTTTGAGACAATATATCACTTTGCGATCTTAATACACAAATGGCTATAATATCAATAATTGCGTACATAGTATAAATATTTTGCGTACATAGCAACGAATGTAAATAGTTAATTGCCTAACAAGTGCGGAAAGTGCTACTTTTTCGCACGCAACTGCCGCAGCGCGTGTAAGTGCTCATTCATAATGGACGTAACCATAAGTGGTCCATAAAACGGAAACATAACATCACCATAATTTGTACGTAACGATGAGCTGTTTATAATGAACGTATGCCTTATGTATATTAAGGCCCGCATGTCCAAGTTCACTAAAATGACAGCATTGACAGCTTTCGTCTAATTATTATGTCTTAAAAGTTTTAGTTAAAACTATCAATGTTATCATAACCTTAGTGTAATGAGCGATATATACGTAGAATTACTTCTCCTTTTGTTGGCAAAGAGAAGAAGTTTGCCCACAACCGAAAAGAAGCAACGGAAACCTCGTCGGTGGATTGTAAGACCAGTAAATAGAGACATATAAAAAAAGGCGAATTTCGTCGAATAATACTTCACTAAAACTTCACGATGAGGAATGGTTCTTCTTCTTCTTCTTAAATCTGAACACAGATAACTGTGTTCAGGGGTAATGGCCTTTAGCTTAATTTAAAAGCTATTTGGCCAAGGAATGGTTCTTTCACTGTGGGTTCTTTAGATACCCTTGAAAAACATCTGTCATCTGTTTGCATGGCTACCACCCTGATTGCTACCAACAATGTTCTATTAAAATCATAAAAATTACTAAAATTCACACATAAGAAACCCGTAAAGTTAAGTTCATTTAAACTTTACGTATTTTTACGGTCTCCCATAAGATCTTATGTTCGAACGTAAAACGGCTACTCATTATAAACAGGCACACTGGTTTTGTTAATATTCAACTTTACGCTGGTGGATTTTGGGTATACCGATATCTAGAATTGGGATTTTGACCGGTCAAAATCTTTTGTGGTCAATTGACTAGTCAATTGACTAAGCACCGGTCAAATTCCTTAGTTTTTTCTAAAGAAATGAAGGCATGAGTAAAATTACTTAATTTTAAATAGAAACGTATATTTATTGAAAAACAACTAACAAAAAATAAAGAGACCATTCTGAGGTACAAAAAAAAAACATTCATAATATCATTGTTTTTAAGAACATTCACGTCTAGCTCGCAGCAGAGCAGCAACAGCAGCCCAGCAGATAAGACCTGAAGATGGTACATGAGATTCTTTAAAGAAATAAAAACCGATAACGGCACATCATCCTCTTCACTGAACCCACCCTCGCCATTGTCTTTACTCTCTTAAAATTAATTAGTCAAAAATGACCCATAACACTATTTAAAAAGGATTATTATGATTGCATCATGGTCCACTACCGAACATTTTTTTAATACTTTTGATATTTTCCGCTAGGTAGCGCCGCCGCCGCGCGAGGTTGAATTAAAAGTTTTTGACCGGTCAAAATGTCTTTTGTCAAAATAGGTAAAAATCTCGGTCAATTGACCAGACACAACCCTACCGATATCTCAATTATTAAATATGGGACCCACACCAAATTTATATGAGTTTATAATGACATTAAATAAACAAGATTTGCGCAAGCAGAATTTAAATTGAAAAAAAAAATAACTTTTTGCTCGGCCGTACCGGTCCCATGGCGCCCCCAATAAATAGAATATAAATTTAATTGGTGCAATTTATTATTTACCATAATTTATCGACAAATTTCAAATTTCATTTAAAAAATCCAAATTATACAGATTTTATACCATTTTAAATTTTTAATATTTCTTTTCAAAGAAATAATAAAAATGTAAAATGATATAAAATCTATACGATTTGGATTTTTTAATAAAATTTGAAATTTGGAGATAAACTATGGTAAATAATAAATTGCACTAATTAAATTTATATAATATTTATTGGAGGCGCTATGTGACCGGTAGCATTTTTCCGTCTCCTAAGGGCTAGCGAGACCTGCATCTCCGTTCCCTAAGTGGTTAACGCACCGCATACGAATAAGCACTCTGCAATGAGCTTTCTAGGCGATCTTTCTTTGTATGTACATATAAAATAATAATAATAACCAAACAAACAGATTAACGTATGTCTTAAAGGCGCGAATCATTGTATGCACGTTATAGCGCGATAATACACTAGAGGCTAAATGTAGCAAAGTATTCCTCAAGGTTATGACGAATAGCTGTCATCTTGGTTATGCAGGTACACTGCATTGTGCCATACAAAACCAACCCAAACTTAACAACCCAACCAAACCGACCCCGCCCCATTGAGCCCCTCCCGCCCCATTGAGCAATAGAGGTATAATATATCTAAGGGCAGGCTGGATTGTGACAATGGGGCGGGGTCGGTTGGGTTGGGTTGTTAAGTTTGGGTTAGTTTGGTATGGCACAATGCAGTGTACCTGCATAACCAAAATGAAAGCTAATCGTCATAACCTTGAGGAATACTTTGCTACATTTGGCCTTTAGTGATAATACCTAGTGATGTAAAAATTACCGTAATTTATTTTTGGTCGGTTATATTCGGTAAATTACGAGAACTTACCGTAATTTATAAGAATTTTAGGAAATTTCGCTATTTTTTTAGCGGTAAACTGCATTAGGTAGGTAATTTATTATCCTTGTTTAAAAATATACTATTAAACAAAATTTCAATAATTTAGCTTTAAAATTGAGCCCAGAATGAATAACTTTGTATTAATTTATTGTATACATATATACATATATAATTATACATATTGTTAACAATATGATACGACGTATAATTTTAAACAAAATCATATTTTCTAAAGTACGTACCCGAAAAATAAAACTGGAACATATAAAAATAAAATATTTTAATGACAGTTCAAAAGACAGAGAACAGAAAAAATAATAATATATATATTAAAAAGTAACCGTCTAAACGAAAACAAAATAAAAAACATAATAATTTTAAAAACTAGGTAGGTACTTAGTAACCGTCCAAACGGAAAAAAAATAAAAAAACAGTAGAATAAACCCTGTTGCTCAAATCAAAAATAACATAAATATTCTCGAAATCGGAAAAATCTTCTTCGACGATACTTGAATTAGTATCGTGTACCGAAAACTCTTCTTCCATATCTGAGTCAGAAAAAGAAGAACCATCATTTTCACATTGATTTTCGATTTGCTTCTTTGTCTGCTTTGCTTTGCTGCTAGTAGTTTCATTCAATTCAGTACTTCCCTCTTCTATATCTGAGTCAGAAAAAGAAGAACCATCATTTTCACATTGATTTTCGATTTGCTTCTTTGTCTGCTTTGCTTTGCTGCTAGTAGTTTCATTCAATTCAGTACTTCCCTCTTCTATATCTTTAGTAAACTTGGAAATGGCAGACGCTGGCATATTTTGATTTAAAAGTTTTAAGTTGTGAGCAATATATAGAAGCTTTCCGGCTCTTTGTGTTGTCAACCTATTTCTTTTTTTTACAATGAATAAAAGAAGAGGTACTGAACGATCTTTCTGTAGCAGCAGTTGATGGTGGTAACCCCAGAATGGCAACAGCTACATTTTTAAGTTTGGTTTTATTACAAATACCTTTCCACCAAGTAATGCAGTCAGATTTTTTGGCACTTTCCCACACAAAATTGATACTCCATATATCATTCCTGCCTAAGTAATTCGTGAGCTCAAGAATAATAGTTTCTTTATGTTCTTGAAACTGAGGATGGTTTGAAATCAAATTGTCTATGAACTGCATTGCTGTAATATGTTGTTCATTATTTAGCTCCAATTCAGATTGATTAAAAGAAGGGTCCAGTAAATAGGCAGCTAAATGGATAGGTTTTAAGATACGGTCTCTTCTTTTATTAAACAAGGAAGTAAGTTCCTTTTCTTCGTTGGATTTTATTAGTAGCGATTTAACATTATCTTTGTAAATATAACCCTCAATTTCCGATATAGCTATAAAAACCTGAGAAATTCGTGCTGCATCGCCTTCTAAAACCGTTATCCATTTAACTATAGGGCTTAGAATTCCTTTTAGCTTGTCAAGTCTTACCCAGAAAATATCATTTTCCAAAATATGGTCTCTGACATTTTTAGAAAATTTTACGCCCTTACTGTCCTGGCTGACAATTAATATTTGTAAGGCTTCTTTAGTCAGAATCAAACTTTCCACACAATATAAAATCGACCCCCAACGAGTCTTGACTGGGAGTTTTAAACTTCTTACTTTATGATATTTATCTAATTGAATTTTGTTAAAACAGGCAAGATTTTTGTGAGATCCATTGATCTCTTTAATAATTTCTTTACAAGATGACTCTACATTTCTGAAAGAATTAAGCTTCATAATGTCTCCTACTAAAAGATTCAGACTATGTGCTACGCAAGAATAGATTGTTATATAGTTAAATTGCGTTGCAATAATTTGTTTTGCCTTTTCCATGGCTGCAGCGTTGTCTGACACTATAGCCATAATTTTTCCTGGTCCAATTTCTGTTATACACTTTCCTAATTCCTGGGCAATGTACTCTCCAGTATGACTTTCTGCACCTGTAGTCATGGTTTTGAGAAGAACCGGCTTTGGTGTTGTTACAACGAATTTTAAGACCGCTTCATTTCTAAAAAGGACAGGTTTATTATACCAAGTGACATAGAAAACATAATACCCCTATTTTTTTTGTAAAAAACTTATTTTAACAAATATTGAAAAACTTATGGTACATTTGAAAACTTCAATATGTTTGTCAGTTTACGTGTATCCGCGATTTTTTTATATATTTCATTGTGCCCTTTTAACACGTTTTAAGCTTTTCTAGTCCAATTTTAGAGAAAAATGCCCTGCACCATTCGAAAGAGCGGTGAAAATTACACCCTTTCTGAAAATTACACAACAATCGAACAAAAGTCGTATTAGTCTAGGTATAAAATTTTAAATTTGCTGAAAATTACAAATTTCTTGGAATATTTTTCAATATTTGATCAAATAAGTTTTTTACAAAAAAACAGGGGTGTTCTGTTTTCTATATGTCACTTAGTATATTAACTTGACAATTTTTTTGTATCTTGCAACAAGATAATTCATATTAAAGATTAGAAGCAAATTATCTAAATTCATACCTTATATTTGACCACCCATCGCACTGAACGGAGACAGTTTCAGCAGTACGAATTTTGGTCATAACATCACCCTGCAGTGTTTCATACTCTGCATCCAGTAATTTATGGGATAGATCATGCCTACTTGGCAATGTATAGGATGGTTTAATGGCTTTAAAAAATTCCTTCCAGTATCCTTTTTCTACCATCTGTATTGGAGAGCCAGATGAATAAATAGCGCGTGCCAGTTTTTTGTCAAAACGTTTCTAAAAAAAATGAGATTTCTTTGCTCTAATACCATTAATACCAATATACCGGCAATTCTTTGACTAAGCCTAAGTACTAAAGTTCTAAGAAGAGTACTAAGACACACCTATAATAATCAGAGTTTGAATGCAATTTCAAGCCTTACCTTTTCATCATTACTAGTTTTATCTATAAACTCACGAAGTGGACATAATCGGGATGAAGAAAATGTGCTTGTACTAGCTGTACTTATGCTAGAGCTAGCCAGACTGCTTTCGCTTCCCGAATCCATTTTAGACAAGGTTCCTTGACCTTGACCTTAAAGCAATTTTTTAATTATTGCATTACATTTAAACAGGGTATACCAACTAAAACTATCCACCTCAAATACTGGCATCCTGACAAAAAATAATAAACTTTAGGACCCGCCAGTTTTTGGAAGATTTTAGGACAATTTTTCTTTTTTATTTTCACCCCGTCTGTCAACCCCCAAGAGGTAAATCAAAATTTTAAATGGGAAGGGACACAAATATCCCTCTGGATTCGCCCCTGTTTCAATTTAATGTTTTTAGGGTACTTGGCCCCCTGCATTTGGAAATTGACAGATAAAGAGTCAAAATTAAAAAAGTGTCCTCCGAAAAACAAAACTTGGCAGCCCTCGCGTTTTTATTTTATTTATTTAGGAAGACGTTATTTGAGATTGATATTTTTAGTTGGGATTGGGACACTATGTATGGTAGAGTATGTTTTGATTAAGATCTTTTTTAAATATATTAAGAAAATATTTCAAAAAGCACCTTACCTGATTTATATACTTTACAAAATTTTTGTTTAATATTTTTTGGACATTTTTGGCATCTAGTCAAATGCTCCTGCATCCTGGTAGCATTTTTGACATATTTTTGACCACAAAAAATGCATTCATAATAATATTTCCCATTTATTGAGTTTTCTTTGAAGTAATCCCATATTTAAAGTGACCATTCGTCCGTCATTCTGACGGACCGTCCGTTAATCAGACTTGACGTCCTGCATGGAAAATTGTCCGTCAAATTGTCCGACATTATGATTCATAAATTATGAATATTAGTTTTTTTACAATTTATTAATTATTTTATACTCAATAAACTTATACTGTATAAGGTATTTTATCTTACACCACATCCATCTTAAGAAATTCATAAATCAGATGCCTTATGTTCTGTGTCAGATGCAGAGATATATACCTCCATATCTCTGGTCAGATGCGATGCGAAAATAACGTCAAGTTAAATGAACTACCGACCGCTTAGAAAGTAGTAGGTCCATTCGTACACTCGGGTACTCGTAGTTCGTTTGCAAAAAGAGACTATGAGTATTTTTTTTTTTTTTTTAAATTTACACCTATTTCATAATATTTTGTAGCCTATACCTTCTTTATCTCTGAGCCTCTTGGCATATATACTAACGTCCGTCATTTGAGTCTTTAAAATATGGTCACTTTACCCATATTGGTCCTTTATATTTCGGCATATTTAGCACTTGGAACTTTGGTTAATCACAAACCATAACACAACACAATCGCTTCGCATTAACGTGCAGAAACAATAGTTTCTTAATGATTGGTGGCCGAAAACAAGCAATAATGCAGCACAAGAAGTGTGCCAGGGAAGTACGCCGTCCGCCGGGAATCACACGCCGTCCGCCGGGGAATCACACGCGATTAACGCGATAGCGAATTTATTGGGTTATATTACCGGGAATGTTCTCGGTAATATTACCGTGATATGTTACCCAAAAGCGAATATTCCTTTGAGAGTGAGCGAATATTACCGTAAGTTACGGAATTTATGGGAATATTCGCTAAGCGAATTTCGCTTCGTAATATTCGCCCGTCGCATCACTAATAATACCTAATTACCACTTAGGGAACGGAGATACAGGTCTCGCTTCCGTATCCTACACGATTAGCGCACTCGGTTGCGCTAGCCCTATAGGAGACGGAAAAATGCTGACCGGTACGGCCGAGCAAAAAGTTATTTTTTTTCGCAAGCTTCAATTTCAATTCTGCTTGCGCAAAACTTGTTTATTTAATGTCATTATAAACTCATATAAATTTGGTGTGGGTCCCATATCTAATAATTGAGATATCGGTATAGACAAAATCAACCAGCCGCCACAGCTTACGGACATCTTATGGTTATATCCATTATGAATAAGCTCTAAGGTACAATATTTTTTTTACAACCAAGGAAATCTCGCAAGTTTCCATTTGTAGAAAAAATGTTTTTTCTACAAGGGTTGCTACTTTCCGCACGTTCTGTATACAGTTTATAGACAAAAAACTGTTGTTTGTAAAAGTAAACTTATAATAAGTTTTCAAAAAACTCTGCATGCCTGCATGTATTAGCAAGTTGGCAAGAATGATATTACAAGCATAAATGAATTAACCCCTTGAAATGTCATTAACTACGTAACGTCACTTTAGAAGTATACAAATATTCATTTAAATTTCTAAAATAAAAAACCAGGACACAACATGCCCCTCCTCGCCCTTCCAAAAAAATAAACAAAATTTATTTTATTTAATGTTTGAAAAAAATATGTGCTAATAACGTCAATTATCCCGAAGGTACTCCCAAAAATTTAGATTTTTAAATGAATTTTTATCCTGAGCCCCAACCACATTTAATAAAAAAATTAGAACAAATCCTAAAAAAGTGGGAAAAACTCATAATTTAAAAAAAAAATTAAACGAGGTTCTTTTTTACTTTTTTACTATTCTAATGGTACTCCCAAAAATTCAGATTTGTAAATTAATTTTTAACCTGAACCCCGACCACTTTCAATAAAAAAATTAGAACAAATCCTAAAAAAGTAAGAAAAAAATTCAAACGAGTATTTTTTTACTTTTTTACTATTCTAAAGGTACTCCCAAAAATTCAGATTTTGAACTCCATAATATTATTTAATAAAAAAATTAGAACAAATACTAAAAAAGTGGGAAAAACTCATAATTTAAAAATAAAATTTAAACGAGGTCTTACTTTTTTAATATCCAAAAAGGTACTTTCAAAAATTCAGATTTGTAAATTAATTTTTTTTCCTGAGCCCCACCACTTTTAATAAAAAAAATTGGAACAAATCCTAAATAAGTGGGAAAGACTAAAAATTAAACGAGGTTCTTTTTTACTATCCTGAAGGTACTCCCAAAAATTCAGATTTTTAAATTAATTTTGAACCTGAGCCCCGACCACATTTAAGAAAAAAATTAGAACAAATCCTAAAAAAAGTGGAAAAAAAATTCAAGCGAGTTTTTTTTTTACTTTTTTACCATGCTGAAGGTACCATATCGCACATGGGCGACAACAGTGTCATAAGTCAAAAAAACTGAATTTTGGGTTTTTTAGTGGAATAAGTGTAAAATTACTCATAGTTCATACTGCAATATGCATAAAGATATTTTTGAAATTAATCCCTACATGAAGACTTGTGTCTGTCTACAATTTGTATAATCCCTATCATAATTTTCATCAACAGTGTCATAAGTAAGTTGTGACAGTAATTTTGTTAACGTGGGTTAGTAAAATTACAATAAAAAAATTAATAAGTCACCCTCTTCACCTTAAGACAATCGGTCATGTGTCTAGGGTCTCGTTTAATGCGTTCACTTTCCTAGTGCTACCACCGCTATCGGTGTTCAAATTCATAAAATCAATTAATGATTTAACAAGTGATCTACCAGAACCAAGTGCAACCTCAACTTATAATGAACTCCACCATAATTAGCAAAGAACTCATAAGTAAGGGATCACATACGCAGTTATTAATCAGTCAAGTTCAGATAAACACTAGACAAAAGAAACTCCTGTAGATAATCATTACTAAGCACATGGGTAAAATAAATTACGTTCTATGGGAATAATAAACAACCGCACAGTGGGGTGCAACGTTATCGATAGTCAGCCAGATCAGAATACGACTCGGACAAAGACACGGACACATACGAACAGGAAGTACTTACTTTAAGATCAGCAAGGATAGGTCCTAGCAGCGTATACGCTGCTAGTATACGCCGTTAGTATACTAACCAACCAAGCCCTCTTTATGAACCCCAATTGAATAGGGTAATTACTAAATCCCTGGTTGAGGGGGACTCCGGATTGTACTTAGTTTTGGGTCAGTTCAATATCCCTTAAAAACAAAAATGTTTTCCCTCCTTGTCCGCACTGCAATAGCCTAAATCGGGCGTATTGCTAGGCCCGGCAACAAAATTCCGGGAGTGGCCTTTATCATCCACTACCTACTGGGCGAGATTTACCAGCCGTGTTTAAAAAGGGGCTTAAATCGTTGTCGCCCATGTGCGATATAATAAAATTTGTAAATTAATTTTTAACCCTAGCCCCGACCACTTTTTAAAAAAAAACTAGAAGAAATCCTAAAAGTCGAAAAAATTCATAATTTAAAAAAAATTCAAACGAGTTTTTTTACTTTTTTACTATCCTGAAGGTACTCCTAAAAATTCAGATTTGTAAATTATTTTTTAGCCTGAGCACCGACCACTTTTTAAATTTTTACACTTTTAAATATACTTTCAAAGTTTTAGATTTTTAAATTAATTTTTAACCTGAATCCCTGACCACTTAAAAACAAATGCTAATAACGTCAATGATAAAAAAATAGTATTAACCAGGATCAAATCCAGTACACAATTAAAACCAGGGCACATTAGCAAAAACCAGAACCTGTCCTGGGTAAACCAGGACGGTTGGTCACCTTAGTAATATGTGAACCGCCCCTTACTATGCATATGATAATTCTATGTAAGCAACTACATTTTTATTACCAAACTGGCTTATGCGGCACGGGTCGCCGGATTTAGCGTATCGATACGATACAAAAATATCGATCCAGATCGTATACGATTATAATAATTATAATCGTATACGATAATTATTATCGTATCGGTACTTTTGTTGCCTCGGAAGATTTACTACAGCTTCAAAAAATCTTGTTTTTGTCGAAATTTTAATTGGATCTTTCGCAGGATCAATATCTAAAATGTCTTATAAATATGGTTAACACCAAATTAACACCATAGATGGTCTATATCGATACAAACCAAAATGGTGTTAAATATGGTTCGTTGGCCGGTGTAAATTCAAATACTAAAATAGTGTAAATTTAACTTTCACACAGTATTTTCAGTGTTAAATATTATGTGTTTTTGGTCAAATTAAATCATACTTCACAGAAAAAAAGGAAACAGGAAGTTCCTTGACGCATTACTATATTACCAGTGGTATTATTCTA